ATTAGAATATAAACTAATCTAAGATATGGTAGTGTTGAAATGCTAAGGGCCGGTAGGAGATACGTTAAGGAGATTTAGAATATAAAACTAAGATATGGTAGTGTTGAAACACTAAGAGCCGGTAGGAGATACGTTAAGGAGATTTAGAATATAAAACTAAGATATGGTAGTGTTGAAACGCTAAGAGCCGGTAGGAGATACGTTAATGAGATTTAGAATATAAACTAATCTAAGATATGGTAGTGTTGAAACGCTAAGAGCCGGTAGGAGATACGTTAAGGAGATTTAGAATATAAACTAATCTAAGATATGGTAGTGTTGAAATGCTAAGGGCCGGTAGGAGATACGTTAAGGAGATTTAGAATATAAACTAATCTAAGATATGGTAGTGTTGAAATGCTAAGGGCCGGTAGGAGATACGTTAAGGAGATTTAGAATATAAACTAATCTAAGATATGGTAGTGTTGAAATGCTAAGAGCTGGTAGGAGATACGTTAATGAGGATTATAATATAAAACTAATCTAAGGTATGGTAGTGTTGAAACACTAAGAGCCAGTAGGAGATATGTTAATGAGAATTATAATATAAAACTAAGATATGGTAGTGTTGAAACACTAAGAGCCAGTAGGAGATACGTTAATGAGAATTATAATATAAGACTAAGATATGGTATATCATGATGTTTTTGTGTAAAACAAAAACTATTAATTTACAGAAAATTAAATTTTGTTTTGATGTGTAATCACATATGGATTTTATTATTTTCACACACAACTTCAGAAAATTATAGTTTCTGTAAATAACAGAGGATAAAAGTTTAATTTCTATGGTCATTGTGGTCAGCATTTTTATCACTGACTTAATCATCTAATGAAAAAAATATTCTGGTGTGAAATATCCCTGTACTAGTTCTATGTTTATCTCTGTAAGTTAAAACATAAACATGAAGACAAAAAAACATTCAACACATCACTCCTCACCAACTAAACAGTCAATGAAGCATAAAAACTCAACTTTATAAGTATGAAAAAATTCATGTTTATCTGACAGCCACATCAAAAAATTTGAAAGCACCTGACCACACTGTTCGTATAATAACTCGTTAAAACAGCCAAAGAACAAGTCTGTGTTTCCAGTTTGATTTCAAATCTCTTCATGATGTCATTCAAACCGATCATTCCTTGTAGATTATCCACCATTTTGAACAACAGATCCAATATTCAGCTTATTCTATGAGTCTCCATTGAAAGCAAGTTCAAATATTTAAGTATTTTTATAATTTAATTTTTTTAGCATAAAATCACCAGTGTACCCAATTTTTGTTACTTATCCTGCAGTACAGGGTCTAGAACTGCACATCTGCATACTGAACTGTAAATGTAATCTTACTTTTAAATTTTAAATTCAATATTTTTGTATATGTATATCCAACTTAGAGGTCACATTTACACAAAAAAAAACTGCATATTTCACCCAAAAATAAAATTTTATACAGTTCTGATAGGTCTGTACATTTAGTGTACATCAATATTTTATATTTTGCTAGAGTTAATTACCTTTGCTCATTACTTGCTAAACCTTACCGTATTTTTCGGAATATAAGACGCACCCTTATTTTGAAGACAAAGTTTTGGGGGAAAAAAAAGCTACAGTCGCATTTGAAAGATTTTTATTGAACAAAAATTCAATTTGATACTTTAAAAAATAATATATATATATATATATATATA